GTTGATTTTCAGAAAAATCAAAGGATTCATTTTAAGTGTGCCGTATTTTCCAAACAACGCGGTAATAACGACGGACCGCTAGCATGCGCTACCAAAAATAGTGCTTGGTTGTGTATCTGACGCATGAAAGCTAAACCAGTTCCACACCACTGAAGTTGCAGCATTTTTACAAACCAATTCTGGTTCATCCGTTTCATTTAACGATCCACTTTCGCTCTTCTCATTCTGCGTTGCCGCCATGTGCGTATGTAAACATAGGCACTGCGCATGCGCGTTTTACCCATATTCTATCGCGATATTTCATTTTCCTATCGTTGCCCAAAATTACACCGGTATTACCGTGAACGGTATGATATAGCCCAGCCCTACCACGTACTAAAACCTCTAATGAAGAAATCTAAGACGTACGGATTAGGCAAGGCAATGTGCAGACACTTTTGTCAACCTTCTCACATTTGCTCCATCTGTGTTGTTTTTTAGTTTTTGTGCAAGTCATCTTTGAGTTTGACACATCTTGACACATTTAGTGATGGCCTTTTGCTTTCACTTATAGTACAAGTTTAGGTCAGTTTATAAGCTGTTTCATGTATCGTATGCCAAGCTGTTCAGGAAGACTGGGCCAAAATTTGTGATGAACACATCTCTAAATCTGACATTTAACTCTCACGGTCTCTCCGCTGCGAATTTTCCACATCACAGAAGCCTCAAAAATGTCCCAGTATTAACCCAGACCAAAACAGAAGACCTCTACAACACAAAGCCACAGAAACCAAAGGCAAAGCTGATCAAGAACAGAGGATTACCACCTGCAGATAAAACAGTTCAAACCACTCTTTCAAGCCACTTCTTTGGTTACAGTGAAGGATGCATGATGGGCAGGATGCAATTCAGTTTTCAGCAGACCACTGACATACTGATGAAAGGTGTCCTTAGCCCCACTCTGAGGCTCCTTGCACCCTTCGCCCCTGGCTGCGAGCCGAGCGAGCGGGCGTCCTGCCTCAGGGGGCCAGCCACACAGCAGAACCGCCGACCAGGAGGAGTCGAACAAGAGGCCTTTCTCTCCCTGCGATGTGATCCTCCCCCCTCTCACTCCTGCAGGAACGACTCTGGCAGCATCTCAGCTTGTTCTCCCCCTTTAGTAAAGTTGGATTCTCAGATCACTTTGGCCATGGCTTCAATTCATTTACATGCAACTCTCTGTCTCTCTGCTGCTGCTAGTGCACAAGTCCATGTAAGGCAGTGCCAGCAAGTCAGACAGCTGGCCATCTCTGAACAACAGCAGACATCCATTCACTAAGAACTCGCTACTCGAGGGTCTCTCAAAACGAGCACAAGTGGAGAGTCCTCTGTGCTGTTTAGAAACTGTGTTGTGAACCCGTAGCCTGACCACCAGCTCAAACAAAGCTTATCAAACAAAGCATACACAATTATGCAGTGTATAACTGACCCGAGCGTAACCTTTATAAAAAGCAGACACGCACATGAGGGGAGAGCAAAATTAAATTCATTCATTTGGTACCAAGATATAATGGCTAATTACACTTCTCAGTACATTCATATTACGAAACCACCAGAACAACATGACAGTTTCACCTTTTTCTCTCCAAGGACAGATTAAATAAAGACTGGCAGAAGACTTTCTTTACTTTCTGCATTTAATCAGGAATATTATCCTTTCTTGATTAAATAACAAACATTTCCTGCAACGGGAAGGCCTGGATAAGTCCTAAGTAAAAGAAAAGGGGACAGCCTCCAGAGACAGGGAAGGAGCCAAGTCAGTACAAGGCAGAGGAGTGGAAGCAGAGAGAGGAGGAGGAGGAGGAGGAGGAGGAAAAGTACAATTGGAGATTCTGAGGTGGGTTAGACGGCTCTGAAAGACAGGGCTGAAGAAAAATTGCATCCTTCGCCAGGAGATGAGTTCCGCCTGCATCACGTCAAAAACAAACCGGAATGGAGGGCTGAGAGGGCCACTTAGTCTCCACAGACCCACAACATCAACAAAACCCACCACTGAGTCAACATCACTCACCCATTAGGTCTGCCTGTGCCTGTCTATGGTACAAATAGTACTGTGATGTTCTCGTTCAGATGTTCTGGCACATCACGAGCAGGCGATCTTCCTGTGTTACTCAGAGCCAAATGAGAGGTTTTTAAAATTGCCTCCGTTTCACCGCCAGCTAACTTCACACCTGCAAAATGTGATTCTCGCACTTGAATCAGACACAACTAATAACTAAAACAAAGAAAAATTGTTGCATTTGGGTCCTCAGCTGACCACCTTCTGTTTAATCAAAGCACATAAATCCCCACACAATAGGCTGCTAATTATGGCTGCAATTATGTTCATTATCATTTAATCTCCTCATTATTTGCTGTTTACTTTTCAATTAGTCCAAAAAACACTTTTTGGCAAACAAAGAAAAGAAAAGTAAGAAAAAGAGTGAATGAAATCCATTTAAAATTCCCTCGGAACAAGTTGAGGCTTATTTTATTCAACCAAATATATTCGGTGTGCCTCCGTGCATGACAAAGAACACCATGAAATCCTTGTGCTGGAATCTTTATTTTTTTATTTTATTTTATTTTATTTTTTGGGGGGGGGAGACATTCAGTCTATAATCAATAGAGCTGCAGATTAATTAACCATCTATCAGAGCTCAACTGATTACACCAAGAAAACCCAGAAGAGAAAGGGAAATGAGCCATTTCTGAACAAAAACATGCTGCCAGATCCTCTGAAGATAAACATCTGATTAAATGGAAAAGAGACTGCTGTGTAAGTGAAGGCAGGAAAACCACCCTGTAATGCTATAATATAACTTGGATGCCAGCATGCACGAATCACAAATTAACTAGTGCCTGATAACAGATAACAATGCTCTGCGCATTTCTAAAGTCATATTTATAAGACTCTGTTAGTACAGTGAATTATGACGAATGTGTGGAGATGAAACCCAAACCGAACGAAGACTGCAGGCCTCTGCAAAAATGAGATAGACAGCTGTATTGCAATATTCTCACAAGGTCTGGGCAGCAAACAGACCACCAATTAGAGCACGAACAATGCTTATGTTGATGCCACACATATTTTCCGCTTGGAGTTACAACACAATAACACTGCACTGTGGACGTGCTCCGCCCCAGACAACAAGACAACCCCCACCCCCCTGTCATCACTGCACCTTATTCACGTCTGGACTTCATTATGAAGTGTAACGGAAATCATCATTGGCAATTTGAAAGAATTTACGAGACAATGATTCAATCCAAGTCATGCCTCGTGGTCACAAAGAACGGTTAGGGTTATACATGGCTAAGCAAGGCACGTCTTTTCTAAAACCAATACGCACTGTTAGGACAAGAAGCAGATTTTAAACATTTTAGACCACCGTGGTTTTACGTACACACCGCCTGACGTGACTGATGCTAAACTAGATTACATCGTTTTTGCTGTATGGTTTTCCTAAAAATATTTCCTCTTATAGGCATCAGGCCTCACCTTTAAAATAATAATATATATTTTTTAAAAACAACAAAAAGAGAAATGGTCACAGACCTCTTTATTTGGACAATCTGTTATCTAGTCTAGCATCTTTCTTTGTGAGCATCATCAGAATTCACTGACACGCCTGACTGATGCCATGCAAATGCAGCTGAGCATGGTGTCTTTGTTTATGCCTCATCTGCAATTACATTTAGATTCAGCAAGGATGAGACCTGTGCTGCGAACTGGACACTGGCATGGCCCTCTGGCATTCTGCAATGCACACACGACATATGCAACATTGTCCTCAATTCCATTTTTCTAAGAGTTGGATTTATTTTTCTGGAGCTGTAGATAGCAAACCTCTACCATGATATATAATCCATAAGACTTTTATTTTTGGAAAGGAAGAATATATTTGAATAAATCATTTTTCCTGTCAGTTTTTGCAATTAACAAAAAAAAAAAAAAAGGATATCTATCCCAAATAATAAAACTCCTTGAAAAAAACAAACAAAAAAAACTAATTAATTTTTTTTGGCTTAAAGTCATTTACACAGAGAGAAATTAAGCAATTTAATCCACACATCCATCACAAAATACACACCTAAGCCTCTCAATGTACACAAACATTAAAAATATAAAAGTAATTACTAAGTCAGGGAAATCAAAGTAGTCAGAAATCTTCAAAGCACTGCTTTGCTGACATTCTTAGGAAATTAAGGAAAACTAAAGATGAAATGATAGTAAAATGAAAAAACAGGCCTTCTCTGTGTACAGGCCACACCTGGATAATATGATAGAATATAAAATAACAACACTGCTGTGATGCTCAGTGGAACTATGCTTCTGCAATGACTCTCTGGTCAAAATAGGAGCCAGTGCAAAGTGAAGAACCAAAAAGAAGAGAAGCCTGTTATCTTTCCTGTTCATAACTCAAAAATGTCTAGACTGGCACTTTTAAGATATATTGATAAAAATCAAGTCAAAGGGCAAGAGTCCATCCTTTTACTCTAAGTGTTTATTTTTGTTTGTTTGCTTTTTTTAAATTAAAATGATTGAAATGTGGTTTTTAAAAGTCACATTTCAGTTAACATTTCTGACATATTTTTGTGGAAAAACTGACAATTCAATAATGTATGTGTCAGTTAAAATAAACAGCTGATTTTATAGTTTAAACACACACACGTACGCATACGTTAGTGTGTGATAGCTGTGTGTTATCAATAACGAATCCCAGTTACAAGATTTCTACAGAGAATCTGAAGATGATCCCATTTGTCCCACTTGAATGAATCTGATTAAAATAAGTCGATGTAGGACAAACCCAATTCATGACCCAAATTAAAAACTACACCTGTGCTCCGACAGAAGAAGCAGACATAGCCTAAATGTGTAGGGTTTTTTTAAAAATTATTTTTCCAGGGTCTTTCAACCCATGTACAACACAGAAACCCCCCTTCAGACACTAAGCCCTGCTTCGGCTGCTGCTCTTCATCACCGCTGCCCATCTTACCTTTTTGTGTCTGTCTTTGAAAGGTAACGCAGGCCATGGCATCTCCTGCAAAAAGTCTTGCCAGTGTTTCTGATCCGGATCAGACGAGATGAAGACGATTTCCAATTTGTCCTTATGTTCAGACGTCTTTTTGAACCTGCTGTAAAACTCGCACAGGCTGCCGTTGAACTGCTTGCACGGGGCGTTCAGGCTGCATCCGAAGAAGAGCCCGACCAGGGACAGCTTCGCGCCCAGAGACTGCACGTCCACCTCGGCTTTCTCGCTGTTGACGAGCCGCTCCCCGAGTAGACTCACCAGAAACTCCGACATCGCAGCGTACAGTCCTCGAACACACAACGTTACCCTCAGCCGAAACCGCTGTACATGTAACCGCTATGTTCAAGCGACACCCAGCACTTCCTCCACCTCCAATTTGAGGTTTTAGGTGAGCTCCCAGCCCCGGCGAGGCGTTGCGGTCTCTGTGTTCACCGCTGCTCGTCCTCCGGTGCGAGCGCTGTGCAGGAATGCGCTCCGCTTAAATCGCCCTGACTGCAACAGCGGTTGCGCTCTTTTAAGAGAAAAGCACACAATTTTGTCACAATATTTATCATTCTGTTTGTAAGGAATCCACTTTAATCAATTTATGGATTTCAAATGCAATAAAAGCTGCACTTGCAGCTGAATTGTTTTAATTTCCGAGTTTATGGGTTTCTTTTTTAATTTTGTTAATTTTGTTTTCAGAATAATAACAGCGGTTTTCCGGGCTTGACCTCCAGAATCACATTAGTCTTGTGTTTGCAAACATCATTAAATTTGAGTCGATTAATTTTCTTTAGACAACTGTAAATAAAATTCTACTCATTTCTATTTAGACTGGGAGTGAGACTAAACTCAACTCCTGTGGATGTGCTGCCACCTAGTCCTCACAAAAGAAAACAAGGGTCAGTCACATCACACAGAAAAGTTCCTATCTGATCCCCTCGCAGTCAGCTGATTCGTAATTACAACAGCTTTAAAATAAGTAATTCCAAATTTTACCATTTACGTTTGCTACAGCGAGTGATCAGAAAACACGGAAAACAAAAAAAAAGTAGCAATGTTTTCTTCTGTTGCTGACATCAAGTTTGTGTTGAAATATTTAAACGAATAACTACTAACTGATCATTCTGAAACAAAAAAGAGCTTTTGGCTTTAGATCGTGACAAATGGAGTGGGTTTAAATTGAATTTGGTTCCAGTTTCTTAATAGATTAAACATGCTTTTCAGCCTGGAAAGATCTGATGTTGGTAGCTAATGTAACTATTATGTTATGGGTGTTCCAGAGTGACAAAAAATAAAATAAAATAAATAAAGGAAAACTAAAAAGATCCAAATTTTAAATCACCCTTGCACTTTGACGAGCTCTATCTCATACTGTTTTTTGGAGTATGACATATGAACATTCATTATCTTGCAAAAGTTATTGTATGACAAAAATTTACTGATTCTGAGGGTGTGACACTCACTAATTTTCCATAGAATGACTCATGAAAAGTTCTGGCACAGCTTCAGCTATTTCGAAGTTGCATAGAAGATGAAAAACAACTGAAACACATCGTGTATGTGAACTTTACCATGTATATCCATCACCCACAACAGCACAACAAAAACATGGTCAGACATATGTGACAGATCAAAAGAGGAACCCAAAGAATAAGTGTCACTCCATTTAAAGCCACAGCAACAACAAAGTTAAAGAAATCAATAGTCACAATAATAATAAAATAAAAATATTAAGACAGATTCACCACAAACTAGTGTCCACCAGTTCATCACAGAATCCGAGTACTAAGATGGTAGCAAGTAAAGCGTGCATCTCATAGGCATTACCTAAACAAGTCAGTATTGCTTTAGGGGCAAACTTAAACAAATTCTGGTTTCTATCAGAATCAAAGTGGGAGATATTTCACTTTTAAATTATATTTAGGGGGGGGGGGGGGGGGGGGGGGAGAGTGCTGAAATGTTGAACTTTTGTTGAGTGATGAAAGCAGCGCAGTATTCCTCAGTCCTCGGTGAACATCATCTTCACCAGGTCTGCTTTGAAACATTCCTCCTCCACCAACTTCTGAGGCTGAAACAAAGATTACACAGAAACGACGCTTAACATTACAGAAATATCCAATATTAGCTGCCTTATTAAACAAATAAATAACTAAATAAATACATAAACAAATAAAGGTAAATGCATTCTTACTGTGCCATATCGCAGCAGTGTGGGAACTCCAGTCAACTTCAGTGTCTCCTTGAAATCGTTCTTTGGATCCTTCCAACTGGAGTGAGAAAGACATTATTAGGAAGCTTTTAAAAGTTAACAGTACAACATTTAATAACATAACAAGACTTTGGACTATGCATTGAAACACATTTTTACATTCATGTGAACAAATGGCTCTTGGGAGGCAAAAAAAAAATTATCACAGCAAAAACGGATATTGCATATTTGCACAGCATACTGTTTAAACAGAAACAGTAAACAGTTATCAATAACAACTCTGTCTTTCTCACACTGCAGATAAACTTTGTGCTTCCTTACTGCTTCCAGAAAAATTAAAAGGTTAAGTTAAACTTAATTAACTACTGAAGTGTTTCCATTCCTGGTTCTTCCAGACCGCATGTGAAAGTGTCTTTGAGCAAGATAATAAACCCCCAAAACAGCACTCAGTATATCATTAATGTGCATTAGTGTTTATAAAAGTGGTTTGAGTTGGTTAGAGCGGTCAATAAGACTACAAAAGTGATTTATGTATGCAATACACAATGATAACACTCCATTCACATTAGGGAATAAAACATAAGCAGAAGTAGTATGGTTAGTTAAAGCAAACAAACAAAGAAAATAGCAAAAGTAGCAAAGAGTTAAAGTCTCCTAGTATAAAACACATGTAAAGGTTCAGAATGTGCCTCAGCCCACTCTGAAGGTACACAGTACTAGAAACCAGTCTTCTCTAGTTTAGAAATTGGGTGGGGAACTTTAAAAGCCAGTCTCTCCTGTAAACTGGGCTCGTGATAATGAGAGCTCATCGGAAGATGTTAAATATCACAGCACTTTATACCAAAGAAGAAATGTTTAACTGGCTCTGTGGTCAGCTGAAGAAAATGAAAATATAAATTCTGATCAGAACAATGATCGGTTTCAATTTCAATTAAATTACATCATGTGTCATGTATCTTTTAATTCTATATAACTTTACAACGGAGATTCAGTCAGTTACTATCAAGCTTTTGTGCCACAGTAAAATCCTTTTATTGACAGGCTACCTGCGATTCTCAACAAGTAAACATGAAATAAAGCTTAGTCTGTTAACTGCACCATGATGTGCTATAGTGGTGACAGCGCGTGACATTTGTGTGACTAAAGAGTTAGAAATAATAACAGCTTCTCACAACATGCTGGAAAAAGGAAGCATAAAATACTGACTAGGCTCTTTCTCCAACTTGGCAGTAGATGAAAACAGAGCCCTCCGGAAGGTGACTCAGCTGTCCTCTTACAACTGGCTCGGCTGGAAAGGTAGAAGTCACAGGATGAAGCACAAAATGCTCTTTATGCAATTTTGATAAAGAAATGCTAAGAAAGAACTCGACTTGTTATTTTTCAATAGTTCTAATCTCAACAGCAATAAGCAATGTCGTTACTTTCCTGTTCATTTTAGACAAATTTTCCATCCATAACAATCACATTTGTGAAAAAATTTAATTGTTATATAACATTTAAATAACACTGTCACATTCAAAAAAGACAGAATATATCCAAACTCTTCATTTCACCTGGTTAATTAAAACTTTTGTGTAGAAATGATTTACTAAACCACATACATACATACATACATTCTGTAATTTCAATGCACATACACTGGTCACTTTATTAGGTAGATCTTGCTAGCACAGGGCTGGACCCTCTTTTTGCCTACAGAGCTTCACTATTTTTGTGGCATAGATTCAACAAGGTGCTGAAAACATCCCTCTGAGATTTTGGTCCATATTGACTGCATAACAAAGTTGCTCCAGACTTGCAGGTTGCACATCCATGATGCAAATTTCTCATTTAATCACATTTTATGGTGCTCTGTTGAATTGACATCTGGCGATTGGGGAAGGTGACTTGAGTACAGTGAACTCAGCGTCAAATGCAAGAAACCAGTTCGAGATGATTTAAACTTTGTAACATGGTGTATTGTCCTGCAGGAGGCAGCAACCAGAAGGTGGGTACACTGTGGTCATAAAGGGATGGATGTGCTTACTGATTAAATGATACTCAGCTGGTACTACGGGACCCAAAGTGTACCAAGAAAATATCCTCCACAGCATTACACCACCATCTGCCCGAACCTTTGATACACGACAGGATGGATCCTTGCTTTCATTTTTTATGTCAAATTCTGACCCTAAGATCTGAATGCCACAGAGGAAATTGAGACTCTGACCAGGACACATTTTTCAATCTTCTGTTGCCTGATTTTGGTGAGCCTGCGTGAATTATAGACTCCCTTTCCTGTTCATAGTCTGGTCATCTGCTGCTGTAGCCCATCCCCTTCCAGCTTTGATGTGTTGTGAATTTAGAAATACTCTTCTCCATTCTATAACTGTAGCAAGTGGTTCATTGAGTTACTGCTGTCTTCCTATCAGCTCGAAGCAGTTTGGCCATTCTAAATCATTTTCACCCAGAAATCAGCCCTAATCCTCTGTAAACCTTAAAGTTGGCTGTGCAGCAAAATCCCCAAAGTTCAGCAGTTTCTGAAACACTCAGACCAGCACGTCAGGCAACAGCAAAAACCGTGCAGTATTTCAGTATTTAAATCACCTTGTGTACAAAACAGAGGCAGGTGAGTGTAAAATCCTTAAGTAAACCTAATTTCTTATATGTAAACCTAAACTGCGTTAAATACATAACGACAGATTAATGTCTATGCTTTTACTATATAATATGCCATTAAAAGAGTGCACTATCACTAACACTGTAGCCAAAGCTAAGTCAAGCAGCATTTAAATATCAAAGTCTTTAAGACCAAAAAAGTCACGACAAAACAGTGAGAATAGCAGCTGTGGCTGTAAGTTGCGTAATATATCCAAGTATCAGATTTCTGAGGTTACCTTTGACACAATCTGGACACCAGCTCTTTCCTTGCTTGTCTTTATCCCCTGAAAAGTAAGCAAAAATATCCTTCCCTTTTCTCTCAGACACAGCCCGACAGAATTCATCATACCCGTGTACATTTACTTCTTCGTAATGGGCCATTATTTTAACCAAAGCTAATGTGACAAAGCACAAATTTAAACTGCTAAATTTAACCCTTGCTGCAAGTGTAATAATCAATGCAGCTTCTCTGAACTTTGGTCCTGGTAGCAATACTCTTAAGTCGACGCCTACTTCCGGTCTGTGGAAAAAGTTCTTAAAGTAACCGCTAAAAGAAATCGCATTGTAATATATTCTTTCTTATTTATACACTTAATTATTCTCCAGTATTTAAATATGATATATCATATGTGATATATTTAGTGAGAATGCCTATTCTATCACACGTCATTATAAAGCGTTTGCGTTGATTTTTGGCTTATTTGACAAGCCGTAGTTAAAAAAAAACTACTTCCGTCTTTAGGGTTGTGTTGTTGTCATGGCGCCGTTTCAAACTGTTGAGAAGCTAAATTTAAAATTTAAGAGATTAACGAGGTCCTGTATTTTAATTATGCTTCAATTAGCCACTCGGTGCGTATAGCTGACTTATAATTCATATACAGAAAGTGGAAGAACTGATTATTAACGACGGCGAAGTGCCTGAATTTAGTTTCTGGATTGGATTAACTTTATGTTAGCAAAATTAGCTCCCATTAGCATAACATTTAGTATTGTTTACTACAGTGACAACTGTTTTTCGCTGTAATGACTGCACAATCCCTGCAAAGTGGTCCCGGGATTTTCTCAGGAAAGCAGAGCGAAGAGAGAGACTGGGTTGCTTTAGGATCAACCAGAAATGTTCACAGCCGCAGCGGTTTAACGGCTGGGATCTCCCACACCAAGGTAAACAGCACTGAAAGTCTGATAATATTCATCTATCTTTATTATATGCAGTTCATCTTTGCATATATACAATTTGAAATGGAAAAGCTAAGACCACATACTAGTGATACATACACAGACCTGGAGCTGGTTGATTGAGATCAGCTGGTCCTAGAGTGCAGCACAATGTCAACAATAAATCTGAATATTACAGTCCTGAAAGTCATAATATTTATCGCTACAAGGAGTAGAGGCAGTGAAGGTAGAGACATTTAAATACCCGGGATCAACCATTCAAAGTAATGAAAAAGAGGTGGAGACGCGAGTGAAGCGTTTGTGATCAGAATCAGAATCAGAATACTTTATTGATCCCTGGGGGAAATTATTTTTTGTTACAGTGCTCCATTTTAAACCAACATTAAGACAAGACAGACAATACGCTAACTAAGAATAGTACAATATATACATATATATACATACATACATACATAAGTCACTTATAAATAAATAGTTGGAAAAGAAACATGTGTAGCTGTAGCAGCAAACAGTGTGTTAAGTGGATGCGTTGTACAGGGAGATGGCCACAGGCAGGAATGATTTCCTGTGTCGTTCAGTGGTGCTTTTCGGTAATCTCAGTCTCTCACTGAACGAGCTCCTGTGACTGACCAACATGTCATGGAGTGGGTGGGAGGTGTTATCCAACATTGTCTTTATCTTGGACAGCATCCGCCTCTCCGACACCACCTTGAGGGAGTCCAGCTCCATCCCCACAACATTGCTGGCCTTACGGATCAGTTTATTAAGTCTGTTGGCATCTGCGACCCTCAGCCTGCTCCCCCAGCATGCAACAGCATAGAGGATCGCACTGGCCACCACAGACTCATAGAAAATCCTCAGCATTTTCCGGCAGATGTTGAAGGACCTCAGTCGCCTCAAAAAATAGAGACGACTCTGGCCCTTCCTGTAAAGTGCTGTGGTGTTTTTAGCCCAGTCCAGTTTATTGTCAATGTGTACTCCAAGGTATTTATAGTCCTCCACAATGTCAACACTGACCCCCTGGATTGAAACAGGGGTCAAGTGTTTCCTGGTCTTCCTGAAGTCCACGATCAGTTCCTTGGTCTTTGCCACGTTGAGCTGCAGATGATTCTGCTCACACCACGTGACAAAGGAGTCGACCACAGCCCGGTACTCTGTCTCATCATCCCTGCTGATGCATCCAACCACCGCAGAGTCATCCGAAAACCTCTGAAGATGGCAGGTCTCTGTGCAGTGGCTGAAGTCTGTGGTGTAGAGGGTGAAGAGGAAGGGGGAGAGGACAGTCCCCTGTGGTGCCCCTGTGTTGCTAATCACCTTGTCAGACACACACTGTGGGAGACGTACATATTGTGGTCTTCCTGTCAGGTAATCAACAATCCAGGACACCAGAGAAGCATCCACCTGCATCGCTGCTAACTTATCACCCAGGAGGGTCGGCCTGATGGTGTTGAAAGCACTGGAAAAGTCAAAAAACATGACCCTCACAGTGCTCGCCGGCTGGTCCAGATGGGTGTAGACACGATTGAGCAGGTAGATGATGGCGTCCTCTGTTCCGAGACGAGGCTGATAAGCGAACTGAAGGGGATCCAGATGTGGTCTTACTATGGGTCGCAGCTGGTCCAGGATGAGCCTTTCCAGGGTCTTCATGATGTGGGAGGTCAGTGCCACGGGCCTGTAATCCTGGGGGCCACTGGGACGAGGCGTCTTTGGTACAGGGACGAGGCATGATGTCTTCCACATCACCGGGACCCTCTGCAGACTCAGACTCAGCATAAACAGTTTATGAAAGACTCCACACAGCTGGGGGGCACAGGCCTTGAGGACAAGGGGACTCACTCCGTCTGGTCCAGCAGACTTGCCTGAGTGAAGTCTCCTCATTTGCATCTCAACCTGGTATTGAGTGAAGGTGATGGGTGGGGGAGGGGTGTCAGGAATCTCACAGGAGGCAACGTGTGAAGAGAGAGGCTGGCACAGTGGTGTGGCTCTGGATTCCAGGCTGACTGCAGGTGAGGTTGTGGGGGTGGGAGCAGACACTGTGGTGTCGAATCTATTGAAAAACAGATTCAACTCGTCGGCTCTATTCTCACCTCCCTCAGCTCCCCTGCTGTTGGTTGGCCTGAATCCAGTGATGGTCTTCATGCCCCTCCACACCTCTCTCATGCTGTTCTGCTGGAGTTTCCACTCCAGCTTCCTCCTGTAATTGTCCTTAGCCTCTCTGATCTTGTCCTTTAGTAACACCTGGACCTTCCTCACCTCCTCTTTGTTGCCCCCTCTGAAAGCCCTCTTCTTGTTGTTGAGGAGGGCTTTGATGTCCTTAGTCACCCACGGCTTGTTATTTGGGTAACAATGAACAGTCTGAGCTGGAACAATGGAGTCGGTGCAGAAAGTTATGTAGTCTGTGATACACTCAGTAAGCCCATTGATGTCCTCGGCGTGAGGCTCACAGAGTGTTTCCCAGTCGGTCACCTCGAAACAGCCCTGTAGTTCCGCTATTGCCTCCTCTGACCACCTCCTAACAGTCCTGGTGGTCACAGGTTCCCTCCTCACAATTGGCACATAGCGGGGGGTGAGGTGAATCAGGTTATGATCTGACCTACCAAGTGGGGGGAGGGAGGAGGAGCTGTATGCATCCTTGACGTTAGCATACAGTAAGTCTAAAGTTTTCTCTCCCCTGGTGGGACAGTCCACATATTGTTTGAATGTTGGTAGTGTATTGTCCAGTGATACATGGTTGAAGTCACCCGAGATCACAATAAAGGCACTCGGGTGCTGAGTCTGTAGCCGAGCTATGGCAGAGTGGATAGTGTCACATGCAGCTGTGGGGTTAGCAGAGGGGGAACATAAACAGCCACCAAGATGACGTGAGAGAATTCCCTGGGTAAATAATACGGCCTGAGTCCAACAGCACACAGTTCAGTGTCCGGGCAACAAATCCTTTCTTTGATTGTTATGTTGGCAGGGTTACACCACCGGTTGTTAACTAAAACAGCAAGCCCACCTCCTTTACGCTTACCGCTAGCGATGCTGTCCCTGTCCGCCCGAACAGTGTGGAAGCCTTCCACGGAAGCATTCTCATCGGGAATGACCTGGTGCAGCCATGATTCGGTGAAACACATCAGGCTACACTCTCGGTATTCCCTCTGACTCCGTACCAGTGCTGAGAGCTCGTCGATTTTACTTGCCAACGATCGCACATTTCCCATCACGATAGACGGCAGACACGGTTTAAACCTCCTCCTCGCTTCGAGCCTCCGCTGTCTCACCGTCACCTTTTTTCTTCTCTTCTGTCCTTGACCTCTGCATCCCCGATGTGTTTTCCTCCAAATTTCAGCTGGTACTTCTGCGGGCACTTCTGCGGGCCTGGCCAGCGAGCCGGCCGGCATCAGGGCGATCAGCTGATCTCTGGAGTAAACAGTCCGTGCGTGTAGGAGATGTGCCGCGGTCCCGTTCCATGATAAAAGTAACAGTTCCACGGCCACCAGAAGAACAAAAACTCTCTCAATCCACATGATTGAGTAAGAGATAGAAAACGGAGGAAAATACAAGTCAGAAAAAAAAAGAATACGTAAGAAAAAAGAGCTAAACTAAGAGAAAAGCAGGAGCGACTGTAACAGGCTGCACGCTGGTTGGCGCATGCGCACTTGTTGATAATACCCTTTCTCTCTTCATTTTTAAGATTTTTGTAAGACTTCAGTTTGAAGCATATCACTATGTTCATATCACAATGTTTGTAAATAGCTTGGTGTCAAAGTAAAGCGCCTCAGTGAAGTTTACCAGAGATTCATGTACTGTTTTTAGTTGGATTCAATTTCAATTCAATTCAGTTTTATTTATAGGCGCCAAATCACAACAACAGTCGCCTCAAGGCGCTTTATATTGTAGACCCTACAATAATACATACAGAGAAAAACCCCAACCATCATATGACCCCCTATAAGCAAGTGCTTTGGTGAAAGTGGGAAGGAAAAATTCCATTTTAACAGGACGAAACCTCAGGCAGAACCAGGCTCAGGGAGGGGCGGCCATCTGCTGCAACCGGTTGGGGTGAGAGAAGGAAGACTGGACAAAAGACATGCTCTGTAAGAGAGACAGAAATTTAAAAACAAGTGTGATTCAATGCAGGGAGGTCTGTTGACACATGGTGAGTGAGAAAGGTGACTGAAAGGAAATGCTTAATGCATCATGGGAATCCTCCAGCAGCCTGCACCTATTGCAGAGGGAGGATTCAGGGTCACGTTATCCAGCCCTACCTATATGCTTTAGCAAAAAAGAAAGTTTTAAGCCTAATCTTAAAAGTAGAGATAGTGTTTGTCTTCCGAATCCAAACTGTAAGCTGGTTCCATAGAAGAGGGGCCTGAAAACCGAAGGCTCTCCCTCCCATTTTTCTTTTAAATACTTTTAAATACTCTGGGAAAAACAACTAAGCCTGCAGTGCGAGAGCGAAGTGCTCTAATGGGGTGATATGGTACTATAAAATTCATTCATTCATTTCATTTTAGCATCAAGCTAAGGCTTCATTCATTAGGATTTACAGGAAGGTTTACAAGATGGTAGTGAGACCTGGAGATGGTCGCACTAGAATTAGAATAGAATAGCCTTTATTGTCATTGTACAGAGTACAACGAAATTGGAGTGCCACTCCCTTGGTGCAAGTTTCAATAATAAATATAAATGTAAAATATAAAAAGTACAAAAAAACAATTGTAAGTACTCAGACAATAGTATGTACAATGTATACAGGATAGCAGCATTAATATAATGACATGAGATGGTCGCACTAGAATTAGGCGCATTTTCTGAATATTTGAATGCCATCTAATACACATATTATACATATAGGCTCAAATCTATACATACACCCCCAAGCCTCTGGCATTATTCTGTCTAAATAATTGTTCACTCTTCTTGATAAAATTGGTAGAGTTAATTTAAATTGGTTAGTTTCCTGGCATGAGCCTACACAGTCCGCAAATATTCATCAGGGTTAAGGTCACAGCTTTTAGTTCAGTTCAGTTCATTTTTATTTCAAACATTTCAAACATGTGCCTTCACAATCATTACAAAATATCATTCCATTATTTGTTTGTTTTGTTTGTTTGCTTTGGGAAGACCATTCGAAAAGCTTCACGTTAGCCTGTTTTATCATTTGTAAAATCAGGTTTGATGTGTGTTTGAGATCATGGTCCTGTTCAACATCCAGTTGTATCCAAGTTTCAACAATCTAGCTTTCGCACAAAGAGGATGTTATTATTATTCCATCTGCTCATCTGTTGAAAGAAATCATTAAAAGCCCCAAATTACTACGACATTTATATGATATGGTATACTTTATCGTATGAATCTCTTGGTAATTCTGGTTCCATGTTCCCTAATGATTGTATGTATCCTTTTGACCACAACTATATGCAATGGCACCATTTCCTAAATACCTGTTATTGATAAATATATCTGATTGTGTCTAATCATAATGACTGATTATACCAGATAAAACTGACTTCTGTCTTGCACACCACAGCTGCTGTTCAATGACGCTGTCCCTGCAAGTACTAGAAACCGTGCCACACATGTCGGCCTGCCTGCCCCCATTGTGATAGAGCGACTGCTGCCTGTATCAGAAGTTAAGGAAAATGTGGATAGCACCAGAAGCTCTTTCAGCTTCACCACACTCTCTGAGGAGAGGCTTCAGGCAGCTGTTAAGCAGGCCAAGCGAGATCTAAGACGAAGGCGCCTTGAATCGCTGACAAAATTATCGGCCAAACCTTCTCAGGAGGCCTCACTCTTTGAAACAAGTGATGTAGAACTCCGTCAGGTAATTTAATTACTTTTTGTCTATAATAACATTCTTGTTTATACAATATGAAATTAATTGTTTGTGCCTGTTTAGCAAATGAAGTTTATTTCCTCTCTTTATAGGAGTTTGCAGCAAGTCCAAGTAAGATGATGTCAAAAGCATCCAGTCCAAAAGAGAAGGTGACTGTAGCTGGAGCCAAACGACACACATCCCAGAAACATCCTATTTCATCCATGCCTCGAATGAGCCGCTCACCCCCAACCAGAGACCCTGGCCTTAGGCAGGTAGAAGGAGACAAAGAGGCACCTTTAAGCCACGAGATCCACAGGCTGCAAAATGAACTGGAACTGTATATTCAGAAAGTGGAAGAGCTGGCTAACAGAGGTAGCCCACAATACACCTATAACTTGAAATGCATGGAGTGTAATCATAATTTTGGAATCCATTGCAATGATCACACTTTTCCTATGATTTCACTACTAATGCATGATGCTGATAAATAATGCACAATGTTTTTTAAACAACAGGGGAGAAAATACAGGAGTCATTAGAACCTGAAGAGGAAAACAAGTTGGAGATACGCAGACAGAAACAGGCAGCTCGTTCAGCTCGTATTATTTATGTTCTGCAGCAACAGGTACTTAAATTTCTATTGAATGCCATTAAATTTTTGTCACTGGATTTCCTTTTGCTCTGCTCCTCTAGACAATGTTCTCTCACATTATTTAACAGGTAAAAGAGATACAAGAGGATATAGAAAAACTACGAAGCCAGAAAATGTGGGATGCTAAAAAGGTGAGAAGAAAGTCACATTTTGGACTTCATGGCTCTCCCCTCTGCCTCAGCCACTCGCGGCAGATGGCCACCCCTCCTGAGCTCGGTTCTGCCGAAGGTTTCTTATTGTTAAGAGGGAGTTTTTCCTTCCCACTGTCACCAAGTGCTTACTCGAGGGAGGGGGCGGCATCTGATTGTTCTATCTTTATAATTTTTTAAAATTTGTTTTATTTATTTGTTATTGTAGGGTCTTTACCTTACATTATGAGGGCCCTGAGGCGACTGTTGTAATTTGGCACTATATAAATAAAATTGAATTAAATGAGTAAAATCAGTCGTGTCTGATTTTTTTTTTTTTTTTTTTTTGAAGGAGTTTTGTTTAAAAAAAAAAGTTGACATTTCTGTTCTTAATTTATTTGCATTCTCTTTTACTTTCAGTCCATGGCGATAAACAGGCTTGCAGCTGCACATCGTGGGGCACTGAGGGCTTTACAGGTTTTTATCCATCAACTCTCTGATCTGTCTCACAGCAAAGTGCCTCCTTATTCCAAAGAACTGGGGCAGCTGATTCGCCAGCTCTCTTTGTGCTCAGCTAAAGTTGAAGTGGACCAGGGCTCAGCTGTGCCTGAGACTGCCCTTGACATCCTGCAGAAACTAGAGGTAAGGATCACGATGTAACCGCTGTATTCACAGAGTGATGTGTGTTTTCCTAGTGTAGACTTGGCTCCTGGACAATGCAAAAACAATCAGCGGAAAGAAGCTCAATGTGGCAAACCAGTGCAGTATTGTATTGGTCCCGACTTTAAACCTACTTTCTTATTTTACTTAATAAAGGCAAATATTCATGCATGAATTCCAACTAACTGCAGTGCAGGTTTAGCAGAGCATTACAAGAACAGATTCTGTATCTGCTACTGTTTCTAGGTCACAGATCGAAGTAGTAATACGATTTTAATATGCCTAAATGATATGATTTTTCCAGATGCATCATATATTTTTATTACATGTTATTTTCTTTGTTACATTGTTTATTTGTGATATTACTGTAAACATAGATGACTTGTGCTGCAGGATTAATCAATATTTAGTGGAATTTGTCTAAAAGTAAAACTTATTTTAGGAAAATATATATTTTTTGAATTGAGTGAATAATCTCAGGCTTTGCTGTCACTTCATTTTTAATAGACTTTGGATTCTGCTCTCAGTAAACAAGAGATGCTCATAAAGATGCAGGCTCAAGCATGCCTTCCGCAAAGGAAATCTCCTCATCGCAGCAAGTCTCCTACGACTGCACCCAGGCGTCCCAAACTGCAAGGAATTGCTCGAGGTCCTTGCAAAGCAAAAAATCCCAGAAGAGGCCTCCATGGTGAGCACTGTTTACTAGCTTTGTGTATTTATTAATGCAGACTTCCTGGGTGTTGTTTAATGATTATCATTTCAACTTAAGACCTACTTGTTGATAGAGGCCTGCTGACGAAGGACAAACCATTTGCTCTCCTATGTATATAAAAGCCCTCCAAGGGCTTCTGTGCGGTTCTCTTGGGGCCTCCCACTGTGCGTAAATTGCTGTACCCAGGCTTAAAATTGATCAGGGAGCCAGGAAGTGATAGGAAAACAAGATTTAAAGTGCAGAACTCTGGCATTTGGTCCCCTGCTGTTTAGTATATGAGCAGTTAAGTCCTGCTGGGTATTATTGGGCTGAGAGGCAGTGATGATATAAACACCTAGAGTGAGCCTCATCTGCAATCTAGATCTCCCTAGAAACCTGAACCTAAACCACACATCCACCTGGCTGTCAAGAGTGCAGGCAAATTCTGTAATCGGTGGTGTTGTCTGCTCCCATCAGGGTTCAACTTAATTGAATTGTACTGAAAGGGATAAAGAATCTTGTTTGGTTTTGACTTTTATTTAGTTTGAACTTAAGATCAAAACAAATAAATTGTTTAACTTTTTATTTTTGTCAGCAGATAAGAGAATGGCCTCCCAGAAACCCAAAACTACTCAACAGCCCCTCAATCGAAGAGAGGTGCTGCGGTCTGGCCTGGAGAGCCTCGTCCAGCAGAGGGAGCTGCAGAGACGATCCCATACCAATACTAACAGCAGAAAAGAGCTGCCCTCTCAGAGAAAAACGGCTGAAACAATAAAGGTGCTGGGCTTGTACTGAACTCAGTATTTCACAAGACACAGAGAACGCTTAATAACATGTTATTAGCAACATGATTTGTTGTTTGATATCATACCCTGTGAAAACATATATATATATATATATATATATATATATATATATATATATATATATATATATATATATATTTATTTATTTATTTTTAAACCAATGATCAGACATAACCAATGTGAGGTTAATGTAAACTAATAATTAAATATTTATTTTCTATTTTTATTATAGCATAATCAGATGCAAGATACAGGCTTCCAGCAGCCTACAGTCTCCTCTCGGCTCAGAGTGAGCCAGCTCCCTCAAAAAGAGCACTCTGTGCCCTGGATACCTACATCTCCTCACTCTCCTCCTCCACAACGGTGAGTCTGTTATCTCTCTGTGCAGTCCTCGGCTCACTCGATGATTAATGTCATTATGTAAGTACTGCTTTAATGTCCGAAACGCTGATCTCCAGGTAACAGTTTACATTTAGTATGAAATAATATGTGTGGACAACCCCCCCCCCAAAAAAAAGACCATTTTACACAATTATCTCTTTATGAATTTCAATCAAATTGTGGATGCAAGTAGGCATAATCAGATTATCTGATGGACTAAGAGGTTGTATACATTATAGGATTGTAGATTGTATTCAATGTTACTGGTAAAGTGCAGCACATGCCATATGCACCAAATTTTTCATTTTTCATTGATGACAGTTGCTTATAAGGAAAATCCGAAGAAAAAAAAAGTAATTTGGTAAATATAGTATAAGAGATGTAAGTGTCAAAATAAAAATTGCTCTTTCGCTTTCCATTGAGTTGTGTAATATAGCATCTTTCTGTTTACATTTTTTAACCCATTCATCATTCTCTGCTATCAGCAGATCCCCACAAAGGGGAAGACCAGAGCCTCGTTGTCTCTTTTCTCCAGTGAAATCCTCACCAGACCCTCCAAAGCAGAGGCCTGGAGGTAGTTTGGCAACTGAGCCAGGCCTAAGCTCACAAAGGAAGAAAGAAGCTCAGAATGAAGCATTAAGGTGAACCTTACCTCCCAAAGTTTTGTTTTTTTTTTTAACCTTATTTTAAATACACGGGTTGGCAGTAATCGGGAACAATAGGGAAATAAAATGTGAAAGTTAATCTCTCTTCCATCAGCTCTCCTCTGTCCTAAGCTCGCTCCCTGCAGATGATCACAGTCTTGTGCCCATTGCAGAAGCTATGTGTAAGCTGGTTGGTTTAGTTTAGAAAAAGGCCTAATTACTCTTGCTTTCATGATAACAGTCTGAGATGTTACATATAAAATCAAAGCTTTGAACCATAAATTACACATCCTTCATGGCTGTTCTTACAGTGATAGTGGAAAAAAGGCAAAAACTTGGCTCCCGTATGAGCAGGACCTGTGACCATAATATTAGATATAAATGTGTTTTGATAAGTCTGTTTTCCTGTTACTGTGGCGCGTTGCAGGCCAGAGGCAGCTGTTGCTAGTGAGGGACCGTCAACTTTTCCTGCAATATTTTCCAACACTGGCTCAGGCTTTCTTCTCTCTAGGGATGCAAATGCACTAGTGATCTGCATGTGCATCTGCACTTTTTGACTCTCTGAAAGGACCTCTGATTGGCCAGAATCTAATATAATTGGCTAGGTTTTCTTAAAACCTGATAATGGAGCCCAACTAATATGCAGAAGTTTAGTTAGGAATTTTTGCCTGATGGCGAAAAATCTGCCTGTCCCAGCTTTTATCGCTTCTACTTATTATAAATATCTTTTTTCAGATTACCTTGTAATCTGTGTCATTTCTGCTTCTCACATTAGATTATCTGTCATAGCAAAATGCCACATGGGTGGAATCTAGGAAAAAGGAACATTAATGAGAACATTCAGAGAGCCATTTCTAACCTTTATGTCAGACCCCACTTGCTGAGAGCCAGAGGCAATACTCTGATTCTAATTCAAAGTTAATTCTTTCCAATAAATTAATCTAGGTGCCAGCTAGATTGAGGCCATTTCTCTTTTTGAGTGATTAATAGTTTGCCTGTTTTATAAGCACCTCATTGATTGAGTGTTCCACATATGTCTCCGTTTAATCAAATCTTAATTACTGCAGTTGTGCTTTCTTATTAATCAGTGGCTATCAGCGTGATTAAAGATGAGGATTATAAATTATTTATGTGCAAAGCTTCTTTGAGCTTACATTTTGCTTCATTTGATGATTGCCTGGGTGATGTAGGAAAGCTTGGCTAGATAAGATGACTGCGCAGAGACTGCAAGAGCTGAACCAGCTGAGTAAAGAAGAGGCTGAACGCATTCAGAGATTAAGGTACAGTACTAATAAAATTATTGTTTTAGCAGATTTGGATCCAAGGTAATGAAGGCTTAAAGTCATGGTGAATATTAATATAGCCAAAAAACTTTTTTATTTCATGTGCCCCCTAATTGCAACCTCTGCAGACACTATGGGATAATAACAAACTCCCTCTGACCGAAATAAAAGGGATTAATTAATGACATAAAAAAGTAAGTACAGTGTGTGTGTATATATAGCGATATATGCACTTGCCCTTTAACCTTTGTAAATACTTGGCATTTATGCTGTTTAAGAAGAAAAACATTTCCCACTCGGTTCATTGTGCTCACAATCAAAGGAGCATTTACTCTGGGAATTACAACATGGGCAACATTATCTACTGACAACAGAACAAAACAATGAGTGGAAAATAATGCAGACTGTGATTGCAGCGCATCCATTCAGCACCAAGGAGAGCATATGTTCCTATAGACCGCTGTGTATTTGTTAATTAGTCACTGGAGAGCCCAACTTTAAAAGGCTGGCAACAAAACGCAATGTGCACAGAGCAAAGTCAACACTTAATTACACTACTGTGAATGTGTGGGTTAACGCTACTGTGTTCTCTGTCACAAAGACGTGTAGGCCTGCTCTTTATTTACTCACCTTGTCAAGAGGGGAATACCACTGCAGGAAACATGTAATGTTAATTAAGAACACATGCAGCCTCTATAGTTTTATGGGTTACGTAACATTAACAAATTTGCACATAGTGTGTTACATGGAAAATTGAATGAAAATTCACCATTATTACAGATCTGTTTTGCCTGTGTGTTATACCCATGGCAGGTTCTTTTTGTTTGTTTGTTTGTTTCTGTTTTAAAGCTAAAGAAAGCTGCAGAAAAGTGTTAAAGTGTTTAAATTAGATGTATAACGAGTCACTATATCTGATTTTTTTTTTTCCTCCTGCCACTGTGACAAGTAAAAGCACTAAACTGCTTCACTTGTTTACAGGTGATAAGTTGGACACAATAGACATCAATACAATCAACAGGCTGCATTTTGAATAAAATGCTTATGTCAGACTTAGTGATTCTTTTATGCTTCCAGCTGCTCTCAGCTGGTGAAACTCTTAACTGGCATGTCAGCCTTTATGGCTTTTTTTTAAATTGGTTTCAACAGTGAACGTAACCATTCAATATAATGCCAGCAAAGAGTTTGACAGTTTTGACCTTATATGCCTATTATAATTACAGATTAATGTGAATAATTTAAAAAACACTGAGCCTGATGACTATTTCTATTGTGTGTGAATACATTTAGCCATCAATGATAATGATTGATAGTGATGATTAATTAATTCTCTCATGCATTTCCAGTAATGAGAATGTTTTATTCGACTCAAACGGATAGTTATTTTAAAAGCTTGGCAGAAAGTTTTTTGTTTCTTAATCAGAGAAATTCAATCTTTTAATTAATTCTGAACCCAAGGTGGGCTAAAATTCCAAATATATTTTTAACTATACTTTATGTAAATACTTTTTTTTTATTTATTTTATTTTTTTTTATTTTGTGTCTTTAAGTTAAAGCAGCTCAGCTTCAGAACTTCTGTGACAGCTTGCAGTGTGGGTGTGTTTTGGTTCACAGGTCTGAAGTTGTCTCGCCAACTCAGTGGGCTGAGAGAGCTGAGCAGAAGGCCAGAGAGAGAATTCAGCCCCTTCTGGATGAAGCCCAGGTAGGAGGACTTATCTGCTGTCCAGCTAGTGCCAGAATTTCTTCCTTTTATAAACCTCCTAAAGACAAGGGTGACAGTTGTTGCATGTGAATGATTAAATAAATCTAAGTTTGTGTGTATGCGTGTGTTTGGCTTCAGATTTGCCTCGTAAAATAAACTGAGATTTTTATTGTGCCTTCAGCAAATTGGTGAGTCCAGGAACAACAGAATGAACTCTCCACTGAGGAGTCGAGTGCCTGAACAGGCCGCAGAGAGGGTGAGCTTCACTACAGGAGATTTGACATTTAAGTTTATCATGGCAATGATTTAAAAACTGTGCAGCTAAACTCACAACACTTGTATTTATTTTTTTTTGTAATTATTGCCATTTACAGGCAGAAGAAAGTGCTGAGCAGCTGAGTGAAGAGCTGCTGGACGATTTGTTAGAGGACACCGCCCGGGTGGCGTGGACAGTTAGGACAGACAGACAGCTGCAGGGCATGGCCCAGGACATGCTGCAGGCCCCAACCCTGGAGAGTATGCTGCTTCGTATGGAGGAGATACAGGTGAGAGGGACCCACCAGTGAAAGGTCACTATGGAATTTGAAAGGTCACTGGTTACTGGTTTAGTGTTTATAATGAGCTGTTATGACAGCTGTGGTCTGCGTCTGAATACTGATGTATTTTCCAGACTTGATTACACCGTTCAATTTGTTTGACAAGGCTCTTTGTCAGTAGGATGCTGTGTTTATAGAATCTGGTTCTCTGTGTCTCTGACAGCGGGATCAGGAAGAAGTGAGGAGACGGTTTGCTTCTATCACCTATTCAGACCCTCTTTACTTGAAACAACCAGGACCAGCAGGTAAAAAAAAAAAAAAAAAAAGCCAAAAACAGACGATTTCTGCACTTAAACAAAAAATGTTATCTGCAAGTGCAAAACCTAGAAAGTTATTTCACAGACCTTTCCTGTAGGTGGAGACAGTGCTACAACTGAAAAGGCCAGATGTATGCTGTTGTCCTTTTGTCTTTCTATCTGTCTGCTCCTTGCTCCACCCATCCCTCTTAACATTTCTCCCTTCTTTTGCTTTCTCTCTCTTCTTCTCAGGATCCCAGTCCCATGCCCCCAGCTCCAGGCCAGCCTCTCCTCAGCCAATTAGGCTCACAAATCCAGTGCTGAAGCAGACCTCTGCAGCGGATATTGTCCTTGAGAAACCTGTCATGACTGGGTGGGTTTCTCTGTCTTTTCCCCTTTACTGCACAAGTCATTTCTATGTCTCATCTTTAGCTGACGGCTTCCATTCATTGCTGTTTAATTCGTCTTGAAAAGTCAGCAGGGAAATTTTGGAGTGTTCTCAGAATATTAACTGGAGCCCAGTATTATGGTTTGACCTATTTAACTCCCTTTCCAATCATTTGAGCTGAAATTATAGGTCTTAGCCTCAATTATTGGTCATCATAGCTCAGCTCAATGCTCCTGATTGCACAAAATTATGATATACTCCCTTTTTTTAACAAATGCAAATATGTAAATGGTGGATTTTAATTACTTGGAAAGTATCAGGTGACTTTTAATGAAATCTTATGAGACAAATTACATATCAAATTACCTTTAATGACTTGCTTTAGTTGCTTATGCTGTAATGAAGAGAAACAAACGGCATCTTCCACAGGAAGTAATTCAGTGCTGGTTTAATTGCACCTCTAGACTCAATGACAAGGAAGTGGTTAATGTTCTTTTTTTCCCAGCTATACACATTTAGTCTTTTTCCACATGACGTGTGTGCCCTGTAATCACTGTTCCACTGGGAGTCCTTACTCATCCTGCAAAACTCACTTGGTGGCTACTGTACCCAGGGCAGACTCTATTCCTGACTCTGGCAGCAGACTCCACAGGGAGACCCTCCACTGCCCAGGGCTTTAGCTGCAGCTGCTATACTGCTTAAATTAACGAGGAACTTGGAAGGAAAGAGAAAAGAGACTGGAAGGGACTAGAAGTTGTTGACACAGACAAGCCAGCAGGATACTTTTAACAAATTCAAGCTGCAAACATTAGCAAATTAAAGTCTGTCAGTCTTCATCTGCCTCGGGTTCACTTCACTTGATGGAAACTTTGCCTTAAGAGCCACTTTGCTTAACTGTTCTTAATGCATCTATCAAGCAATAACTCTGTTCTCTGGCAAACATAACACAGGTGCTTTTTTAAGAGGTGTCTTTTTTTTTAATTAGCTGTTCATTTTAGAGGCATCAAGCCTTCCAGCTTCTTAACGGGGACAGTCATTTGATAACTGCTAGCTCATTTGTTCTGAAACACCTTGAATCACTGTAGCTCAGAACAGACCCGTCTGCAGCACTTTCATCCTCAGTCTGAATTACAGCTCCTCTAACAAGTGCTGGCAGCCCACTGGACCTTTATGTGTTTTGTTTTGGTTGACACATTAAATCACAGTGGATGTGATTGGTGTTTGTTTTTTTGTTTTTGATTTTTTTTTTTTTGACATGGATCAATAGAAAAACACTTTGATTTGAAAGCAAGTACTAATCTTAGTAAACAAGTTGACTAGAATGCTTATGAATAAAAGAACACACAAGGTGATTGTGTGTATTGAGCCCCTTGAGTTATTATCACAAGATAAATAGTAATTCGGTTGTGCTGTGTATTCAGAAAAAGGGACGATTGTACCATAACAAAACAGTTGGTGATAACTGAATTAAATTTAAATTCACATAGATATCAGTGAATAATTAATCGGCTCAGTATTTCAGCTTTTTGCAAGGCATGTTTTATCTGTATTTACTTGTTTTTTTTGTTTGAAAGCATTTGAAATTTCTTGGTCATGCTTAGAGAAAAATGCAGCTGGTTTCTGTTGGTACACAGATCGATTTAGTCTCTTAGTGAAATCAGTGAGGTTGACAGAGAAATTCAGCAGCACAGAGGGTGGGTAGCTTCGCTGTCTGCTGAGTCACACATGCCATCACAGAATCCTTTTTCTTTCTTTCTTTTTCTTTTTTTTTAACCATAAGATGCTCGTCAACTTATCTAGTCCAATAAAGGCAGTAAGACGAGACTGATGGTGGTCGTGCCATTAGCTCTTGTATGCGTAGTATTTTTAGGCTCTGAGGTTGCTTGTAATGTAGTAATTGTACTCATTTGCATATGAAAAAAGGATTCTATATATTGTCCCCATTCTCTATTCTCTAAATGAAGCATGACCCAGCCTGTTCAGCACTTACTCCATGACTACTGCACTATCTAACTTGCGAAAGAATAAACCTCCCTGCAAGACACTGACAGATTGTTTGTTTGGTTTCTTTCTAAAGTGCAAGAAGGAACTTGTTGTCCACCTACAGTGTCTCTTTTTTCACAGTGCTTTGTCCCCCTTAGAAGTAATAAAGTTGGAAGTAGGGAGTCGTTTGGAGTGAGATGGGGAGAGAAATTGTGTTTATTAGGCACATTGTTTTACAGAGCTGTCTTTGGGGGACACAGAGTTGCTTCGTAAAATGAACTGAGCTGTAAGGGAGATGCTTTGGCTACCTGTGCTGAAGGATAAAGAGGCCCAGGTGTCACATAGTGCAACACATACCAGCGCAGATGAAGGGATGAAAAGCTAATGCGGAAGCAAACCACCAAGGATGCTCTGTAAGTTAAAAAGCCTCGCCTTATGTTGTTGCAGTCTATACGCTAAATTTAACTGTTGTTGCTTTATAACTTTAGGTTATGTCAGATTGTGTGCGCAGCAGCCCTTTTGCCAAATAGTTCACCTCTCTCACCAAAATGATCAGGTCTTGAGAAATAATGGTAATTCTAAAACTGATGCCAGAGAGCAGCAGGTCATCCCACTGGTTGCTCTCTAAGGAGCATCATTTTCCAGACATTTAGGAAAGTTATTTTGATAAGCAGCTTTTCACAACTGCAGCTCTTTCCTGTTGCTTCCGCAGCCCTCGGATCGAAACCTGTGGTTAAAAATGTGGTTTGTTTTTCTTGCTGATGTGGGATTGTGTTAATCCTCTGTCAGTGTTGACTGTCCTGGTGTTCAGTGTAGCAGAATGGTGAGGTTTAATTTGGGAACGGGAAAATGAGCAAAGAGCTCATCATGTGTGTTGTTTCAGCCCTGAGTTGTTGTTTACAGCCCACATTTTTCAGTCCTGAGAGACACATCAGGCGACATGCTCGTCATTTTGTGCCTCACACACATATTTATACACACCATGGGGGAAAAAAACATGCCACGGAAATAAAGCTGCATAATTTTCTCAGTGTGACTATCAATGGAGGCTTCTTAGGTGCTACTGTTTTATAGCTAAGAGGGACATTGTCACATGGTATCGGTTATCGGTTTCCTGATTTTTGTATTAAGTAAGCTGGTTTTCTGTAAGCACTGAGCCAAGGAAGGTGAGAATTGATCGGGAGTTTTCAAAAGAATACTAACTGAAAGAATAAAATAGTTTTATATTTAGTGAGTGCTGCTACTCTGTTCTTTTCTTTTAATCTATGCTGACTATAGTCGGGGTTACTTAGTAATGACAGGAGAGCCCAGAGGGTTTTAACACTTCCACTGACTCTAACCAGGCGTAACGCTGCCTTTGTCACGCTAAATACTCTTTCCAAAACAGCACGCGCTTCTTACCTTGGGTGTCTTTGTTCAGGTGCCTGTGCGAGTGCTGTCAAACAACCACGGAGACAATCTTTTAACACATCAGCAGAGCAGCAGATAAGATTTATGTATCCATGGTGAGGAGCCCAAACCTCAGTCTCCCCCATCCCCCCTACAGCTCCATCAGCTAGTCAAGCAAATCAATAAAAAGATAAGAAGCTCACTCAGAAAAATTAAAAACCGTGCATTTATTTTATTTATTTATTTCACACTGCTCTCTCCCACCTTTTTCCTCTGTGGCTACAGTTGTCCCCTCCTGTATGTCGTCACTTTGTAACCTGGTGGATTTTTAGTTGTGATGTCTTCTAAGTTCTGCACCCACATTTAAATCAGTCCAGTGCAATATTATAAAAGAGGATTTTCTTTTTGGAATATTGAGGGTTTCTGTTGTTTGTTTGTTTTTCCCCCCCCAGTATCCTCCACCTGTTTCTTTCCACACTGATCTTCCCCGCTGTCACTGAGGGTTCATTGAGCCTCGCTTGAATCACCCCCTTACTATCTCTCAGCCACTTGTGGTTTTATCTGACTCAGCTTCAGCCCAGCTTGCATCCCTTTTGATATATCACATATGGCACCGTCCTGTGCCAGGTCCCATCTTTGCCAGGCTCTGCGTGGCTTTAGCTTTTGTTGAGAAATGAGAAGACAAACCTGAGGTGATCGCGCTAATGGCTAATGCTGCTTGCTTGTTTGGGTTTGTGTAAATCTGGTGTGCAGGCCAAGTTGCAGGTGCTACAACGTGATGGATAGAGGATGTTTTGTTAGTGTTTCAGCATTTTGGTACTTGTATGCACTAGCCAAACAGAAAGGTACACAGAGTTGTGAAAGCACAGATTAATGAAATGAAGGTTCATCATGGATGTCTCATTCAGTTTCGAGTGAATTTCATACGGCACAATAGAGTAACAAACTATTACTAAGAATTTGTCGTGATATTTAATTTGCAAATCTTTTTCTCAGCACTCATATCACCTTTTCACAGATTGTTATGCAAGACCAATCTTGCTTTGCAGATGGTCTTTTGTGCCAAAGTATCTGAATGGTTTTCATTCACAGAAAACACAGGCTAGTCTATTTTCTTTTCAGAAGCGTGGGAGCCATTGCGACTTTAAAAATAAGCGAGTTTGCAGGGTACAGAATTGTTGTTTTTCCTGTCAAACAGTAAATCGACCCATTTCAGACTGGAAGCATGGTTCGCTGTGCTGGCACTTTGATATTTATGGCCACCCCATGGGTTGCAGCCCCAATAGTCAACACTGAAACAAGTTTAGCTGAGGCCCAGGGAGCACAATAGAGAGGCACTTTGCTTTGGAGCTGCTGCAACACTAAATATAGCACAGTGAGCGCCATTGCAAGAGCCAGGCTGATTTGTCAAAGCAGAGAGGATTATAAAGTCAGACCACGGCGATGCCCAGCTGAGCCCCTGCTCATTCTGAGCAAGGGGCAAGCAAGAGAGCTGCTTGCACTCTGACACCTCTCCTAAATTCATCATCTACACCCTCAGTTTGTGTTCTACTGCAGTTACCTTTTCTCCACATAAACATCTCTTAGAGGTCATCTTCTCATCGTGTTGCTTTCTCAATGGGATTCTCACTCTTTCTATAATATTATGAGCTTTTTACCTGCCCTAAAGTGCCTTTAAAATGATATAAAACTGAATTGAACTGAAAATACAATTTTGAGATATTGAAAAAATATGTTTCTTGGTCTCACCTTCTGAGCATCGTCTTGTTTTTCCACATTCGCAGCTTCATGTGTGAGAACAGCCTGACAGAGGAGGCATCCCAAGATGAGCAGCATCCTGCAAACAACACCATGTTCCCTGGCCCTCTGGAGGGAAGCAAGGCGCCTGTTATCTCAGTGCCAGGCAGCATGCTGAGAGGCATTCGGCAGTACCGGGAAGACTATGAGGCTTACCTGCGCGCTGTGGCTCATGAGGTTGTGGGCAGCTTCGACCCCTGGGCCGTTGCAGACGGGTAGAAAACTGATTGTTTTAATAATGACTTAAGCTAATGAGACATGTGCATAAACATGATCAGGGAATTTTGTTTGCACTGGCTGATTGCCACCAGTGTTTGAAGTATGCATTGCAGTTATGATCGGTCTCAGTCATCGTGATAGTCTAAAGTGCTTGAGTTTAAGACAACTGCAGTTGTATTTTTAGATTTTTAAAGATGTTTCACCTTTCATCCAAGAGGCTTTTTCAGTTATAAAAGCTGATAGGGAGTCTCAGGAATTTACCTCTTAGTGGGGTTGTCCCACTGAAGGTGAGAGTCACTGACCCACCTTGTCATTATGTGAGTGATTAGAGTCACGTGAGCCAAGGTGTCAATTCGCTGCTCCATCCTAACATCACATGAGTCATTATGGTCACATGGGTCAAGGTGTGAGTGGGGCTTGTATGGTCTGGGGAGGGATCTCAATACAGTGCTATAGATAAAGATTTTTATAAGCTCCCTCAACCGCTCGAGCCTTCTTGTTTTGTGTTTAGCTTAAGCTTAAAGGTAAATATGTAACATGGCAGTATAGGAGAAAAACAGCTTGAAACATTTACATTTAACACCTGTGACATTACATGTGTGCATAGATCTCCACTAGTGCTACCTTTGCTTTGTATATTGGATGGCACAGTGCAGTGGTTAGCCTTGTTTTTTCACAGCAAGAGAGTCCAGAGTTCAAATTCACTGACCATCTGGGTCCTTTCTGTGTGGGTATTCCCTGTGCCTGCTTGGGTTATTTCTAGATACTCCGTTTGCTGCCCAAAGACATGCATGTTAGGTTAATTAGTGATTGATTAATTGGTTGTAAAATACTGCATGCTCACATCTACAGCTATGTTTGTGTTTCTCTCTGTGTTAGCCCTGCAGTAGACTAGCAAACTGTCTAGGGTGTACCCCAGCATTTGTACTGTGACAGCCGGGATAGCCTCCAGCCCTCCCGCGACCCTGAATTGGACATGCTGTTAAGAAAATAGATAGCTGGACATTATGTCTTGTGTTGCACTCATCTCCTTCTGTGTTAGCATGCTAATCTGCTATTGCTGGCCCTTCTGCTATGTCACTTTGTACCATAGGATGTGAGAGTAAGTCAGTCTGTGCTCGGTCCAACATGAGAGACAAAGTAGCAGTGCTGCCCAGTTAGATTTTTCTTTGCCATGGCCTAACATTCTGACCTCTTTACAGTCATTTCCAACACAATCAGTGAATTGAAATTGTGAACGCAGCGATGGCTGATTCATTTGCTATAAGACTGATGGAGAGCAGGAGATCCTGTTGTGCGTGCTTTACTGTGTTTCTGCTTCCTTTGACACAAATTATGAAGTTACCTTCCTTGGCCACCACACAGGCAACAACAAGGATTGCATTATGGATGTTGGTTGATTTCTGTCCTGCACCAGTGTCCGATGATGACAGACATAAACACTGGTTGTGAAGTTACAGCTTCCTCTCTCAGAATAAGTTATCCTTCTAAATGCACATTAAGTGTTCATGTATATCTTTATTAAGGGGCATTAGCTCTCAGCAGGACCATTTTCAGTGTTCAGTTTCATCTAGAACGCCCTCAAACAATGACATTTTCCACCTAATATAACTATTTGCTATGAATGAGTGTCTTCAACGCTGCAGCAGTTTCAGAGTGAAATATGAGTTTTTTTTAAGTTGTCCTACACATTAATGATATGACATGCTTAGTGTTTGTAACTAGAACCACGCTGAAGCAGATCTGTCCTTTCTGTTATTTATTTTGTCCCTGGATGCGATTGACGGACACTGTGCACAGCAGGAGGCGCTCACTCAGAGAGGATCATGCAGAGTTTATGGTTTGCATAGTGCGCCTCTGTTGTTCGCCGCCGGTCTTCTCTCCCACTCACAAACTTAGAATACTTGACAGGCCGCTGCTGGTGCAACGCTGGCTTCGTGCCATCATTGTGAACATATTGAACTTATGCGTTTAATATATGAGTTCTAAACTTCTGAAAGCTGTTTGGGATACCAAACAGCTCGATAAACTGTCTTTCTTAAGTTTAGATCTGAAAAACTGTCCAGTCCCACCCATGGCATCTGGCTGACTGTGTCACTGGCTCATTATCAGTTTCACATCAAAAAGCCAAAGTTTTTAAGACATGAATCTGTACTTAGAAAAAACAACAACAAGATATTGCGTGAGAAACCATCCAATTATCTCAGTGTTTTTGGAGACGGAGAAGGCATACATATAGACTAGTATGACCCCTGCTGCTCTGACACAGCGCAGAAAGCTTTCTGTGTGATGAGATGGTAATGAGCAGCCCTGTGCTGCTGTGGAGCCTTACCACCTGGAGGATCTCATTCATTCTGTCTGCTAACAGACTGATTGCAAGATAGAAAGACGTCAGCACTGCCAAAACAGCTATTTGAATTTCTTTATGCATGTAAATAAAACTTAGTGGTAGGGTCCTAGGATCCTAGTTCACTTTGTATAAATCTGCTTTTTTATTTTTATTTTCATACATTAGCATAAACGGTACACTGTGCAGTCACTGGTGTGTTAAATATAAAGATAACTTGGAGTAATTCAGAAGGGCAAGCACGGTTCCTTGTATATTGATGTTAATGATATTTTATAATGCCTGTTCCCAAACCACAGCGGCACATTCTTCTCTGGATTTCTCTCGCTATATGGTGCTGTGAGCAAAGTGTTCTTGTCATGACCCTTTAGAGGAACAGGGAGTTCAAAAACGCACAATTACTCTGATAGTTTTGTTGCACTGACGTTTCAGTGGATATGTGAAAGTGTTTCCCATTTTCCCTCATCCTCTATGTCCCTGCCTCAGTCTCTGTGTGTGTGTGTGTGTGTGTGTGTGTGTGTGTGTGCTGACCCAGATAATGATCAAACACTGAAATTTAGCTTGGTGCTGCACACAGTTCACGAGGCTTCAGAGTTATTTTGCTCTGTTTTATGTTTTTAAACTAAGTTTTGCATGTGCACCTCTTAAAAAAACAGATACCACATTTGTTCAGAGAAATCAGCTTTAATTTGACCTTCTGCATTTTTGAAGATAATGACGCAAGACTGATGATTTACATTTACTTTGAAATTATAACCACTGCGTACAAAGGACATGTTTCAAGTGATTTGCATTTGCCATTGTTTTCAGGCCCACTGACCTTTTTATTTTGCATGTCTTTCAAAATTTCTAGCCTAAAATCTTGTGAGAAGACCGAAAATAGCAGGAGCAGCAGCAACATAAATACCATTGTCATATGTGATTTGTTTTGATGCCACAAATGAATTCTACCAAATTGAAGCGTATACATTTTCAAATTTTAGAAGACTTTTTTTTTTTTTTTTATACAGGTTATATATGATTTAAGGAAAATAACCATGTTTTCTAACATCTGCACCTCTTATCCTCTCACAGCTTGGCTGACGAGTTGCTGTCGGAGGCTCTGGCTGACGTGGCAGCAGAGTTTCAGGATGTCGTGGAGGAGTATGCTGAGGCCGTCTTCACCTCTGAGTTCCTGCAGCCGCTCCGGTCACCACCCGCTTCAGTTGCAGCGTTTTCCGGACAATAGGATGCTGCAGCATGATGGATGCAGCATTATCTTTAAAACCTTTGATATTATGTTTGCTGTGGATGGAAATTTTTACCTTGTCAAACCCTGGACTACTATTATTTATTATTTTTATATAGAGTATTGTATGTTTTACAATCAGATATTTTATTTTTGAAAGTTTTTATTTATTTGATCTTAGACAAAGGTCTAAAAACACGTTCATAGGTAACTTCTGCAATGACACAATATGATTTTATTTTACTGGGATCACAGATTTTATTATAAAGCTCGGCAGAAGAGATTGTTGAGTTACACAGGGAGCATTAGTCACATTACTTCTTTTGGTCCATCTGTATCTGTGTTTGCATACCTCTGGGAAAGTTAGTTTAGTGTAGATAAGCTTAGAGAGACCATTAGAACATTACAGAGGATTATAAGATTACAGCCGTCCCCTTGCACTTGGTCTAAATCTCCCTGAGGATTACTCACACTTATTATTTTCACATTGGCATATGGAAATAAATTAATTGCATACGGTTTCCACCAAACTGATGTAGAAAGCCAAGGACATGGTGCGCTTAAGGTCTTGTAAATTGATTTCTCATTCATTTTAATGTCCAAATAAAGCGTCTCAGCACAGAAAAAATACTTCCCTCTAAATTTAATGTGTTATCCCTGTAATCTCTGTCCACTCTGAGGGTTGGACCACATGAAAGGAAAGTGATAAGGGTATGGTTAGGGATTCTTTTTTCCTTTTTCAGGCTTTTGAACTTGGTTGAGAACTATTTTAATAATTCTCTTTTCTGTGCTTTTCTTTCTTAATTGTGGTAAAATGTGTAGCACAAATTAAACAGGACAAACTTGACAGGCTGAGAAAATGTCTGAGTCCCTTGAGAGCAACATGAAAGCCAGGCAGATAGAGCAATGGGGGCACATGCAGATGCTGCACTGGCCTGTGGGGACCAGCCTTTGATTGGGGACATACAGTGACTGAATGAATTAGCTCACACGGAATCAGCTGCCCCGTATTTCCTCTCAGGCTGTGTTGTGTGTTTTTGTGTGTGTGTGTTTGTGTGTATGAGGGCGTCAGAATGCATGCAAGCTTTAACAGTCTCATGCACAGTGCACATTTCCCCTTTGTGATCTCTGATAAATACAAACTGGTACGTTCAATGTGAGGGAGGTGTTGCTGTCTTTGCATAGGTATAAGGAAGGCAGGTAGCTCTGACATGCGACTGGGAAACATCAAAGACCATAAAATAATGAGTTGATTTATGATTATTTTTAGCTTTTATAGTTCAGGAGACGTTTAAAAGACAAATCAGTGTATATTTGCTTTGTCAGCACTACTTAACATCAGGGAGCAGCTTAGCAAATCTTACAGTAAGACCAAACTGTTTTGATCTTTGAGGCTTTACTGTGGTCGACTTGGATGTCCTTGATTTTTCAGCGTTAATGCTGTAACCACCATGCACAAACATATTACTGTGGAAAGACCAGAATTAGAACAGTTTTGCTCATCATTATAATTTCAAATGATCACAGAGATTCGACCTTGCCAACGGTCAGCGCTGACTCATTATCAGAACACTGACTGCAATATATTCACGTTCGCAGGGGCACTTTGGCATGTAGGTGCGTTAAAGTTGCTTTGTGGCAGTCGGGTCTGTTTTGCTCAGTGTTTACAACAGATGGATCCTTGCTTGTTAGTCATGTTTGCTCCTCTCGAGGGATGTTCTGTCGAAGATGAAGTATCTGAGGGATGATTTCTGCTGAGATGCTGGCCATCACTGAGCAGTCTGTCGCGCAGACACCATCGTTTGCATTCTCATATTTTCCCCTTTTTTTTCAGACAGTTTTGAGACGCAATTGGCCATCTGAGATCTCATTAAATACATGACTGAAGGGAAGCATCTGTCACGGCTTTGCATTGTTGGGATTAATAATACCTCTCAGATTGAATTGTTTGTTATGTAGTTATTATATGAATCGAGTCCTTGCAGATAGCCAACTATACTCACAATGATGGATCATGAGATAGAAATGATTATCTGTCAAGCTCAATACACGTGCGTACAAGGCAGAGTGAACACGTTGGAGTTATTTAGAAAAACTAGATATTCTTCGTTTATTTTTTATTAATGTAAGATACAGTTGAGTATAGGCCGACATACAAAATAGCTCACTTCAGCAGGAGGAGCAGCATGACCTTTATTTGATACCGTGGTTGATCAAAGGGTGGGAGAAGTAGTAATGCTCTCCACTTGAAGTCGCAATACCACAGCGTAAAAAAGTTCCATTATTAAGTAAAAGCCCTTCTTTCAAATGTGCAAAATATATTCAGGAGAAACTACGGATAAACAAAGCGTAGCCTGTAGAACAAATTAAAAGTGAAAGCATTCAATGCATAATGATTTTACAGAAACTGGTGTTTTCAATTTTCATGGTTGATGCATGAATATGTTAGCAGCATGTTGCTGTAGGTGGTTAAAGTGTAATAATACTATAGCAACAACTACATTTGATAAGAATTTAATATCATTTGCAAAGGTTAAATAATAAGCTAGCCTTAAATGTACTTACAGGAAGTAGACGTAAGTCAGTTTGCACCCCAGTGTAATTTACTCAGGTTACAATTATAAATATGTTCACTACATTAAAAATCAATTCGTAATACCTATAATAGTTGTGTTTTATATGAATAATGAACAATGAAACTGCGGAGTGTTTTTACTGTTATACCTGAACTCCAGAAGAAGAAAATATGAATTGGATGATTAATTGGAAAGCTTGTTTCCTTGAGATTTCACAGCAAATGAAGCAGACATGATATCGGAAGCGGATTAAAAGTGTTGAATTTATATTTAATAGCTTTTTACTCTCATTACAGTTATGTTGCTTATTTTGACTGCCATTCCTTTTTTTTCTCCAGTGCATACCTCCACTTCTCCAGGATTTCTTTCACTGACTCCCTACAGATCACATTGTCATCTGTGAACCATGGACACTCCTGCATCCTCATCAGTCAACCTGTCCATCAACATTGCATGGAAGAATATAAGTCTCTTATTTAAAACAAAAAAACAACCAAGGAGTAAAAATACTATTCCTAAGCTTGAAATGTATTTTGTTCCTTTCCTATTTTAAGTCATTTTCTTTTTTTCTTTGTATGTTTTAATTATGTCTTAATTTATTATTTTCATAACTTTATAGTGGTGTGCCCTGTAGGCCATGTCTCCTTTAAAATATAGATTTTAATGACAAGAGACTTGCTGGTTAAACAACAGTTCAGTTCTCTTCTAAACCTCCAATTCATTCCTATTGGATCACAGTACTTCTCTAAAGCTGCTAATATGATAAAGAGGACAAAAGGGTCACAGCAACAGTGAATTGTAGGGTTAAACAGTAGAATAGTAAGTATATCTGCATGTGTGTGAAACAGCAAGCCACATCATCAAACAGCACATTAGGATAAAAACAGCCAGCTGACAACTTCACCTTGCGTGAGAGTGCTGTGACATACAGCACGGTGTCTTTCCTTCCATAAGGTTGCTGGATTATTTTTTAAAGACAGAAAAGAACAACAAATCTGCACCTTGGGTGCTAAATTCAGTTTGCTGACTGCCTGCACTGTAGTTTGTGAGTCTTTTAATGGCTCCCAGAAAGCTTAATGCTGCTGAAACAGTTCTTTCATCCATTTTTCAAAACCCCTGCAGTGTTTATACCAACAAAAACATTTAGTGTGATTGAGTTTCTTTCTGACTTTACTTTGTAAGACTTTAGTCATGTTTACAATGAATTTTCAGTGCCTAGACTGGCTCTGAATTGCCACAGAGATCTGTTTTTTTTATATATATAATTGTATGGTTCAGTAAAATATTTCTTACTGAATACTGACATCAAATAACATCAAAAGCCACTGTTGAGAAGCAAAGTGCTGCTTTGAGTTGTGTCTCCAATGGCATGAAGAGAAGTCTTCTTACAAAAGAAATTCACATAATTCAATTAGCCTTTCTTTTCCTCTTGGATTCAGGCAGTGCTGCCATTTGGTGTAATCAGAGCTATCTGTCTTCCTGTCTTCCTGGCCTTAAGGCTTTTCCCTATTAGTTTTCCTTAGTAGGGATTGCAACTCACTGTTCTACACCAGAAGTGTATTGGTATTGGCTTCCATGATAAATACAAATTGGCTGTGTGTATTCCTAGTAGAGTCTGGTAATGTAGAATGTCTGGCTGTCTTATTCTAGGGTGATGGTTCGGCCATCACCATTTCCCCCATCAATATTCATTTGTGTGGACGTGACTGCCGATTAATGCCACAACCAGACCATCCTTAAGGGACTGTGTAAGCTCATGTGTGGTCACATATGTGGATGCCAGTGTTGAAAACAGCAGGTGTTACTGTGACCACTTGACACACTGCTGCTTAATGTGCACCATAAAGAAACGTGAGGGAAGCTATTCTGCAGCTATTCGGGTCAAGTATCGCAGGACTGGAGGTTGAAATAAGCGTAGAAATGAATTAGAGGAATCCATTAGGTGAAGCATCTGTGAGATTAAGCCAGATCTCACAACTGGATTTAAAGGATTTAAAGCTGCTGAGAGAAACGTGGTTCATGTGCTTCACCCATGTGCTTTGTTTTGATGGTTGGTTGTATTTTGAAGCACTTCTCAAAGCCCAAAAGATTTGCTTCTCTGCCTGAGTGACTGCCCAAGCTGACCGACCAATCTGGCATCTGCTGCTTTGTGATGGATGGTTTAAAGGGGTGCTCGCTCTTCCCCTCCATCCTGTTTCACTGCGCCCCCATGCTCTTCTTCTTTATGCCACATGTTTTCTATATCAAAATTTCTATTTTAATTTATTTATTTTTGCTTACAGCCAAACTCTATACAGCAAAACCAGATTGTATGACACTGCAGAAAGACTTTAATCTACTTTACATTTAATATTCTGTGTATTTTTTCTACTCTTTCATTAAAGCTGTGCCTTGTTCTTTTTTAAACCGGACTTTTGGGACCCCAGCACACAAATGCAGCAACCTTTCTTACAGAGTATGTGTAATTTCTGCAAAGGCTTCTGGCATGATAGATTAAATAAAACTGATT